TTTTTTATGAAATTTTGTTAATATAAAAATGTTAACAACTTACCTTTTGTAGCTTTGTAATTCCTTTGTGATTTTGGCACAGTCGATATATATATATATATATATATATATATATATATAGAGAGAGAGAGAGAGAGAGAGAGAGAGAGAGAGAGATGGAGGGAGAGGGAGAACCCATAAATATTTTTCACTTAATTCATGTTTACTTCAAAATTTCGTAGTTATATACATGCAAGTATTCTTCAGAACAGAGTTAAACAGTACAGTTTGACTCTGTTGTGATGAATAGTTGCATCTATGCAACTACGAAACTTTCAAGTAAACATGAGTTAAGAGAAAAACTTTTTACTCATTCTACTAATGCTCTATTCTTATCTTCAATATATTTTATTTATTATTTGTCAATGTATTTTATTTTTTAATGAATGTAAACATTGTACATATATATATATATATATATATATATATATATATATATATATAATATATATATATATATATATATATATATATATAATGTATTTTATATTTAGATACATTATATGTATATAATGTATAATTATTACTCTAACATGTTTTATTCAATTAATGCTCTATACTTATCTTCAATATAGAACACTCTACCACAAAGCCTCTCTGCCTTAAATGCCTTTATCAGCAAACCACTGAAAACCAGCAATTTTTATTACTATATATATATATATATATATATATATATATATATATATATATATATATATATATATATATATATTAAGTAATCTTTTAAAAAAGTATATTTCGTTGAAGAAGACAAACAAGAAAAAATTTATTTTTTTTTATTTTTTCCACCATTCTTACATTTTTCCCATTTGTTGGGAGTAGGGGAATATAGAAATTGTCCGTATTGTTCATTGTTCCAATAGCTTCTTCTTAAGCCATTTTCAATGGCCTGTATGAGGTGGTGCTAAGTTCTCTTCATGCTTGACCGTTTAAGATGTATTCTTGCGCTGTTTGAATACTAGTAGAAGCGTTTATTTCGAGAGTTTTGCGTGTAGAGTACGCCTGGTTTTGTTTGGGATTCGGCATATGAACACCTCAATGGGTTATGTAATGCCGTCAAGATTTTTATTACTGCCAATATTTTTTTAAAGAAAATGTATTGCTGGTAAGTTTTTTTAAATATATAAATGGTAATATTTTTTTTTTAAATATATTACTGGTAAGAATTTCTTACAGAGTATTTCTGTCATTAAAACCAATTTTTACACTTTCATGGTGTTTTGACCCAGTTTGGGCGTTAACTATTTGTCCATAGCTGGGACACTAACCGATGCTACCACAACGGGTCAGGGTGGACCCGGGAACATCACCAATTAAGAGGTAGTCCCACGCTCCAAACTTCCTGATCAGACGCCTTGCTGTTGGATGCAGTTTATCGTCTTACCCAGGACATATACATGTATATGTATATATATTCATATTTTAATTGTTAATTAATTTAAGCAAGACGACAATGCCCCTTAACACCTAGTAATTACAGGGAGTGGAAGTGAAAGTGAAAGTGAAAGTAAATGAGAAGATTGAAAATAGGGAGGATTGAGGAAATGACAAAAACGGAAAGGTTCAAGAATACAGAAGATATCGATTAACGTTGCATTAAAATTTTTAAAGACTGTAGTTATCAGAAAAGCAATAAAAAAACTGTTAAATAGCGAAACTGTAAAACGTAATTGTTATGGGGTCCTCCCCTTTTTCATACAAGTGGACTCGACGAAAGTGTTACTTGGACTGCTGCCGTTAAATATCCAGAGTCAGTCAATATACAGAGTGATTGGTGAGAGAGTAAGACGACAGAGATTGTGACTGAGTTTGATGTAAAGTAATAGTGTGAGGTAACCGCTTGTAGAAGTCAGTTACAAGCACATAGACTCTAAGGAAGTCCTACTTCGAGACTGTATATATCTATATATTATTGCTACTAACCGCGTTCCTGGATTTACTAACCCTTTGTATTATTGTGTAAATACATTTAATTTCTTATATTTAATTCTTGCGTTTGTCATTCATTGGAGACCGAATTTCATCTCGAAATCCACAACACTAATTGCCAATCTTGTAGCACGCTTAAATTCATGTATTCTGGGCACCAGGAAGAAAAGCTCATCCGTGCAGTTTCATTGAAAATATTTGTAGAACAGACAGAGGATTGGACAGCTCCAGCCCACATATACTACCGGTACTCTTTTTAATATGGAGCATGACAGGAGCAATCAGGTACTTTCAGGGGTGATACAAGGAACCGACTATTGTTTCAGTATCTTTAACAATGGATCATATGAGTTCCACGTGAGGTCTGGATTAGGTGTGACCCTCAATAGATGTTCGAATATAGGGGTCGTACACTCGTTCATTGTAACAGGTGAAAATGTAGGGTTTTCTCGATGATGATAAAGCGTTTCTAGCTTGTTTTGGAAAATACTGGCTGTGACAAGTCAATTTTACTCCATGGGGTTTTAGAGAATGGTCAAAGGATAGATAAGCTGTTAGGCACTGATCATTTAGATTTTGGGAGATGCTCATATTCCGGATACTAACACGGGCTTTCCTGCACCCTATTTCTACATATCTCCCCACCAAGAGCACGCAAGTAGCTATATGATTACAAAAAAAACTATGTATATTTAATCCGGAAGTCATTCACCAAATGATGATAAAACAGTTTATTGAAGAAAAATATTTATTTTACAGAAAAAAATATTTTTCAACATAATCTCCTTCAACAGCATAGCCTCTGATCAGGAAGTTTTGAAGAGCGTGGAACCACCTCTTAATTGCTGGTGTTTCTGGGTCCACCCTGACCCATTGTGGTAGTATCTGTTAGGGTCCCAGCTATGGACAAATAGTTAACCCCCAAACTGGGCCAAAACACCATGAAAGTGTAAAAATTGGTTTTAATGCCAGAAATAATCTGTAAAAAATTATTACCAGCAATCCTTTTTTTTTTAAATGTTACTAACACGGTCTTTCCTGCACACTATTTCTACATATCCCCTCACCAAGGGTACGCAAGAAGCTATATGATTTCATTTAAAAAAAAAACTATCTATATTAAATCCGGAAATCATTCACGAACTGATGACAAAACAGTTTATAGAAGAAAAATATATTTATTTTACAGAAAAAAATATTTTTCAATATAATCTCCTTCATTGTCAATGCACTTAAATCTTTACCTATCACACAGCGCAGACATTATACAATAAACATTTCAATGGAGCAATTTAGATCACTGTGGCAGCTTGCAAACTTATTGATCTACCCATGTTTTCGGAAAGAAACAACAGGGAAACGATGAAAAGTTAATAGAAACAAAGAAATTGAAATATAATTTTCTGTTGCAGGAGAGAGAGAGAGAGAGAGAGAGAGGGAGAGAGAGAGAAGGGAATATGAAGAAAAAGAGATATATTGAAACACAGAGAGAAAGAAATATGAAAGGAAAAAGAGTGCTCGTAAAAGCAGAAAGAGGGCGCGAGAAAGAGAGAGAGAGAGAGAGAGAGAGAGAGAGGGCGTCTTAGAAGAAAAGAGATAAAATTAAAGATAGAGAGGTTTCAGACTGACACATTGAAAGAGAGGGTCATCATTCAAGAAAGATGCGGTCAGACAAAGTTGGATCAATAGAAAATCGATAGCTAAATTGAAAAACACGCAGATTTATCTACTAATGAAACCGCCCATCATTGGAGCTGTATACTGTAGATGCGTTCTGATAATATGAAACTATAAAAAGCAGTATACGTACTCATTCGCGTGCCAAAAACTTAACAAAATATCTTTCTCTCTGTTTTACCACATAAGTGTATCTACAAATTTTAATGAGCAACATTCTGGTTTCGAAAGAAAGTCCGTCCTGGGTATGACGATAAACTACATCCGTGTCCTAGGTAAGACGATAAACTACGTTCAACAGCAAGGCCTCTGATCAGGAGGTTTTGAGAAGTGTGGAACCGCTTTTCGTTGCTGTTGTTCCCAGTTACACCCTGACCCGGTATGGTACCACCTATTAGGGTTCCAGCTATGCTCAAATAGTTGACCCTCCAAATTGGGGTCAAGACACTGTGAAAGTATAAAAATAGGTTTTAATACCAGAAACACTTTGTAAAATTTGTTATCAACCAATACATTTTTGAAACACAATATATATATATATATATATATATATATATATATATATATATATATATATATATATATTAACAGCTATACATTTTTTAAAATTACCAGCGATACATTTCTGAAGGAAAAATATTACAAGAAATAGATTTTTTGAAGAAAAAAATATTACCAGAAATATATTTTTAAAGGAAAAATATTACCAGCAATATATTTTTAAAGGAAAAATATTACGAGCAATAAAAATCTTGTCGGCATTAAATAACCTATTGAAGTTGATATTCCGTAAAACAAACTAAACCAAACCAAACCGAAAAGAAAGTTGTCCAGGCAAACTTCTTGGGCTCACCTTTCCACTGATATGAAGTGGAGTGATTATATTGAATGAACCGTTAGGTCAGCTGCTTCGAAATTTGATTCACTGTGTCGTGGCAGACAGAATCTATCTTGAAAATTTATAAATCATCCATGCATTGAATATTGCTGTCATATATTGCTGCTCCTTCTATATATCTCTAAATTCTTGACAAAATCAAAAGAAGTGTCTGTAATATTATCAGTCCTGACCTGGCATTTCGACTTCATTCAATTTCCAACCGCCGTGACATGGATTCACTCTGTCTTTTCTATAAATATTTTCATTGCAATTGTTCCAATGATCTCTCTTCCTTAGTCCCTCGACGGCAAAAATCCCGTAGCGAGTTCGCCTACGGCCAAAATATTTACGGCGAATATTCCAGATATGGACTGCGTGAATTTAATCATACTATCGGATTGGCAACTAGATCGCATCGTTGAAAAAGCTTGACGAAACCGTAAGTTCTATTCTAACAGTTTCTTTTTCGCGCTAGATTGTAGCACTTTTTTCCAGTTTCTTGCTTCCTTGATATCTTCAAAAATTTAAAGGCAACTTCCATCGCCATCTTATGTCTTCCTGATTGTTGTTTATTGTCCTTTCTTCCTACTAATGTCTTCTCGTTGTCTTCCCTCTTTTTAACTCCTTGGGTTTTACTGGTATTATTGCCTTGCTTAGGTTGAAATAATAATAATAATAATAATAATAATAATAATAATAATAATAATAAATGTGGCACATGGGAACATCAACAATCCCTGTTGTAGTTGGAGCCCTAGGACTATTTGGAAAAGAATCCAGTAGACTAATTGTAGGGATTCCTGGAAGTCCATGCCTCAGGGAAAAACAAAAAATTGTTCTCACAAGTACAGCCAACACTTTACGGAGGGCTTTAACTATGTAATTTTTTTTTTTTTTGTCAGTGGAAAGTGTCATGATGCCATTTCTAACCTTAAATCTCTGGGTGGGAGCCGGAAGGAAATGTGTACACGACAGAAATCAATTGAAATAATAATAATAATAATAATTATTATTATTATTAATTATTATTATTATTATTATTATTATTATTATAAATTAGCTTCTTTTACACTGATTTAAATAAAGCAGGATTTACTGCCTAAATCAGTGATAGTTAACTGATTCTTCCTTAGATCCCCTATTCAGATATTTGCGTGGACAATGCTCCATGTGTTAAACATGTAATGGTAAATGAAGCAAAGATTATAGGCCAGAGTTAATGCCACATGTTTACGCTTTCTTAAATAACAGCAGCGTTAAACAACGTAAGTAATCTGTGGTGGAAACATTCAAGCGGCCGGAAGAGCAAAATAGTTGTTAACAGACCAAATTATAAAAACTGCCGGACATTAGATTACTAGGTTTTTTGTAGGCACATAATAAAATTGTAGCAAAAGATTTAAAATAATTTTTTTAAAAGTAAATATATAAACAAAAAATAATTAAAAAATATATGTCTATATAAATTACTGTATCTTGTGCCAGTCAGAGTCCAAAAAGTTGAATCATCTTATTTCTCTGTTAAAATTATAGCACCCTTTTGTAACGTTCTGAACAACTACTTTACACCGGTCCCCCAGAGGACGTTAATGCCCAGGCTACGAATCATTAGCCACACCCTACCGAGGAACGACATACTAATCCTCTTGAAATTCATTATTTATAATAAGCTTATATTTTGCTGTTTTTGTTTGTTTGTGTGTGTTTATGTGTGTGTGTGTGTGCGTGTGTTTATGCGCATGCGCGTTGAAATTCTCAGCGTCCTTTTCGAAAACCAGACACTTGAAAACCGTTTTCCGCTGGATACTTTTGCAAACGCCTAGTTGCGTATTTCGGGTAAATGCGCAACTATTTCTGCCACAAGAACCTTTATACATTTCAAAAATACTAGAGAGATGTTCGAGAGAAACTCATAAACGAAAAAATTTGATGCTTCAACTTAGAGGCAATAAACTATTTAAAAAGAAAAAGAAGCAATGCATATATTGGTCACAGAATCACAACTTCATCTCGTCACTTAACGTGGTCACTTATTTGATAATACTTCAATAAAACATCATATTGCTAACGAAAACAGTAAGAAACTCGACAAATATTTACCAATGACACAAATCGCAGCATAAGCTGTAATAAACGACTACTGAAACTATGAAACATTAATACAACCAAAATCAATGTCAATAGAATTTCATTCAATTTACAAAGAAACATACTAAATAAATTTCACAATTAAAATAAGCGACATAACATCATAGATTTATTCCTGAACACACGATACTCGGAAGAAGCCGGCATAATAGCCAACACAGATATGCAGATGCGATATTGGAAAACCATTATAGAAACAAATTACATATTTCTAGATCCATTAATTGAATTTTTTATGGCTTATTAACACTTTGTTGGCTATTTAAAGTTGAAATATATATTTGTATTGTAAAAACATTTTTTTTTATTTTTTGCTGAGCGAATATTACATTATCATACATTGGAGAATAACAACGAATTTTCCAGATACAAGTTCTACTATTTAACCAATAGTTGAGAGGATGAGATAGAGTCATATCTGTCCTCGGGGGTATTTGTGCGTAAGAGAATGTAAAGAAAACGACAGAAATTTGAACACGGCTATCTGACTACACATTCCGAGTCGCTATTTATTACACCACGAACATATCCATGTCTACTTATAGACAAAACTATATCATCATAAAATTGAAACTTTTTGCTAATAGTTTTGAAAACCAAAAGCGCTAAGAAAACATTGGAAAATCCACATTGAATTTCTCCCCAGAAGCCAAAGAAATAGTCCGTTCGATAAAAAAAAAAAAGTTAAATAAAAACCGTATCTGAATCTGGATGAAAAAAAAATCAACACACACATATTTTCTGTGTATATGTTATTTTCATAGATACAATTTATTTAAGTAAATGCTCTGTTTTTAATTAAACCGTATTAATTACATTTACCG